CAATTCCAGTCAAGGGCACCTACCTTGGTTGCAGGCTCCTTCCCAGCCTGGGCCCTGGTTGGGGCTTGTGCAGGAGGCAACCAATCAACGTGTTTCTCTCACATGGATTCTCTCTGTCTTTCCCTCTCTCTTCCACTCTCCCTAAAAATCAATGGAAAAATATCCTTGGGTGAAGATTAACAACAAAATATCAATGATTAGAGAGAATCATTGATCAGCTGCCTCCTGCATGCCCCACACAGGGGACCAGGCATGTGCCCTGACCAAGAATCGAACTGTGACCTCCTGGTTCAAAGGTTGACGTTCAACCACTGAAACATGCTGGCCAGGCAAGGCTGGTTGCAATTTAAATAGACTAGTTGGGGTAGGCCTTATTGAGAAGGTGACATTTGAGCAAAGACTTGCAGGAGCTGAGAGGCTCAGCCAAAAAGACATATGGGGAAAGAGCTTACCAGGCAAAGGAAAGAGCAAGGCAGGAGTGTGTCTGGTGTGTTTGAAGAATAGCTGGAAGACAGGGTGGCTAGAGCAGTGGGAGGGGAAGGGTGGATTGTGGAAGACAGGAAGAGATAACAAGGACCCAATGGTGTGCAGGCTGGTAGGTCACTGTAGGGACTTCTGTTTTTATTTTTATTTTTTAAATAAATCTTTATTGTTGAAAGTATTACATATGTCCCTCTTCCCCTCCCCCCCTTGGCCCCCGCCAGCCTGCCCCTGTCTCCTGCCCTAGGCCTTCGGACTTTTATTTTTACATTGTAAGACTTTAACTCAGAATGAGCAGGGACTCTACTAAAGAGTTTTGAGCAGAGGAGTGACATATTCTCTCTTATATTAGAACCAAATCACTCACAGCCTGTTGACTGTATGAGAGCAAGAGTGGAAACAGGGCCGAAACCGGTTTGGCTCAGTGGATAGAGCGTCGGCCTGCGGACTGAAGGGTCCCAGGTTCAATTCCGGTCAAGGGCATGTGCCTGGGTTGCGGGCACATCCCCAATGGGAGATGTGCAGGAGGCAGCTGGTCGATGTTTCTCTCTCATCAATGTTTCTAGCTCTCTATCTCTCTCCCTTCCTTTCTGTAAAAAATCAATAAATTATATTTAAAAAAAAAAAAGAGTGGAAACAGGGAAATCAGATAGAATGCAATCACAATGATCAAGAAAGAGACAATGCTGGCTTAGATCGGATTGTGATAGTGGGGTTGGTGGAAAGTAGTCAGTTAGTCAGTTTTGGGATAGAATTTAAGGGTAGAGTCAGTTAGAGTTGCTATACATTAGATGTGGTTTATACAGGGGGGGGGAAAGACGAGTTAGATCACTACAACCATCAAGAGAGAGAAATCTGTAAGTGGGGCAGGTTGTTGAATATTGGAGTCTGGAGATCAGGGATGAAGTTAGGGCTGGAGATGTAAATGTGGCAGTTTTTGGCATTCAGATGGTATTGAAAGCCAAAGTCTGGATGAAATCACCAAGAAAGTGAGTGTGGATAGAGAGGAGGTCCAAGGATTGGGCCTTTCAGCATTCTCACATCAATTTTTAAGGAGAAAAAAGAGGATTCAGCAGAGGAGAGCAAGATGGATGATCAGGGGCAGGAGGAAAACCTAAATGTCAAATTCTGGAAACAAAACGAAGAAAGTGTGTCAAGGAGGAGGTAAGTATCAGCTATGTCAAATGCTGCCCAGAACTCAAGTAGGATGGGGACTAAGAATTGATCATTGGATTTAACAACATGAAGATCTTTGGTGATTTTGCTAACAAATGCTTTGTTGGAGTGGTAGGGAAATCCAGACTGGAATAGATTTAGATATGAATGAGTACATTTTATTTACTATGTATACATTATATTTTAATAAAGTTGATTGAAAAGCACAAAAAGAGGGAAGGTGTGAAATAGGAAAACCAAAACTTAGAAATAACACAAGGCCTTCCGTGCTCACGGCTCATGTTCCCTTGTTCTGTGCCTGTGGGGTCATGAAAAACAAGAAAAGAAGAAAGAATTAGCGCAAATGTCCATCAACATTAAAATGGGTAAATAAATCATGGCCTATTTATCCAATATAATATTATAGACTAAGCAGGGGTCAGCAAGCTACAGTGTAAGAGTCGAATTCAGCACAGGCCCTATTTTTATACAGTTGCACTAGGACATAGCCACACCCATGTGTGTAAGTATTGTTGTGGCTGCTTTCATGGGCTACAGCAGCAGAGTTGAGTAGTTGTGCTAAACTCCTTCTGGCCCACAAAGCCTAAAGTATTTACTATCCAATACTCTAAGTTGCCAATCCCTGCATGGGAGTCATCAGGATGAGTGGATTATTGGTATTCAGAACAACATGGGCTAATTTCACAAATACAATGTTGAGGGAAAGAAGCCAGATGCAGAGTATACACTGTATGATTCTACTTGTATGAAGTTCAAAAACAGGAAAACTAATCTTGGTGCTAGAAATTACAATAATCGTTCCCTTAGTGTTAGTGACTGGGAGGGGTCAGGACATGAGCTTCTAGGGTGCTGATGATATTCTAATTCCTTTTTTTCTAGTTAACATCCACCACCATAGCTATCAAAATTTTTTTTCTTGTGATGAGGACTTTTAAGATATATTCTTTTAGAACTTTCAAATATGCAATACAGTGATATTCTAATCCTTGATCTGGGTGCTCATCAGCAAGATTGTTCACTTGGCCAAAATTAACTGAGAGTTGAGGATTTTGTGCAAAATGAAGTTTTATAAAAGTTAAAAATGGTAAGAGAGGAACTGGAGACAGAGGTTATAACAACTCTTTCATAAAGTTTTGTTACAAAGGAGAGGAAAGAGCCCTAACCAGTTTGGCTCAGTGAACTGAAAGGTCCCAGGTTCGATTCCGGTCAAGGGCATGTACCTTAGTTGCGGGCACATCCCCAGTAGGGGGTGTGCAGGAGGCAGCTGATCAATGTTTCTCTCTCATCAATGTTTCTAATTCTCTATCCCTCTCCCTTCCTCTCTGTAAAAAATCAATAAAATATATTAAAAAAAAAAAACAAGACAAAGGAGAGGGAAGAAATGAAGGGTAGTTCACAGATGAAGGAGGATTAAAGAAAGGGTTTTTTAAGCTGGGAGAAATAATAATAGTATATTTATACATTGATGGAAGGAGAATATGGAAGATTTCAGAAAGACGAGAATGCTAAAGTGATGTGAGAGGGGATGCAATGTGGCGTACACTTACAGGCACTGGCTTTGGATAAGAGCACAAGGAGTTAATCTATACTAATAACACAGTTTGGATAACTGAAGGCACCTACAACCTGGTGCCTATCTTTGTATGTAGTGGAAAAATCATTATTGGTTACCAAAGAATTCCTTTATGATCTTCCCTAAGCAGTTCGCTGTTGGGTACTTGGTGAACAATAATCTCACTAATAGTCAACATGTCACAGGTGCTTTCACACAGATCTCATTCAACACTCATCTTCTAATAAACATCACATATTTCCTGTCTTTCCGATGAGATGGTACCGTGCAACTCAGAGCAGCTAGTGGTAGCCTAAGGTCCCCATGACCAAGCCCTGATTGTAGCCAAGGTCTCTGTGTTCATTTGCTAGAGCCGCCTAATGAAGCACTGAGTGGCTTAACAACAGAAATGTATGGTCTTAACAGTTCTGGAAGCTAGAAGGGTGAGGTCAGGGTGTTGGCAGGGTTGGTTCCTTCGGAAGCTGGGAGAGAGACTCTGCTCCGTGCTTCTTCCCTAGTGTCTGGTGGTTTTCTTCATCTTCGCTGTTTCTTAATTTGTAGATGCCTCACCCTGATCCTCTGCCTTCACATTCACATGGTGTTCTCCCTGTGCGTGTATCTATTTGTTTCCAAATGTTCCCTTTATATAAAGACACCAGTTATATTGGATTAGAGGTTCACCCTATTGCAGTCTAACCTCATCATAATTTAGCTAATCACATCTATAATAACTCTATTTCTAAACAAGGTCACATTCTGAAGTACTGAGAATTAGAGTTCAACATATGCATTTGGGGTAAGGGGTCACAGGTCAATCCATGGACATCTTCTGATGCCACATTTAGTGTCAGCCTTAATGGCAGTAGATTAGGTCATTGTAGACCAGATAGGACTGAGGATCAATGGGATTGAAAAGGTCTTTTTTGTGCATCTCTCTGATGCCTGCCAGTCCTGTGAACCTGTTGTCTTTGATGTGATTCTGGTGAGACTGTTTTAGAAGTAGAACCTTGAAGAACAAGAGGTAAATACTGGGAAGGTGAAGAATGAAGGAATTTGCAAGGGGAAGAGTTACTCTAAGGTGGCATTTCACAGTTTGGTTCAGGATCATCTGTATTGAGTACATTTGTCTTTATTTTATTTTTTTTTTTTTTAGAGAGAGAGAAACATCGGTTTGGGGTTTTTTTGTTCCTCCTATTTATGCATTCACTGGTTCATTTTTGTATGTGCCCTGACTGGGAATTGAACCCACAACCTTGTAGTATCAGGACAATGCTCTAACCAACTGAGCTACCTGGCTAGGGCCATGCTTGTCTTTTATAAAGCAGCTTCTCAGGCCTCACCCCTGAGACTCTGATTAGGGAGGCCTGGAGCCTGGAAATCTGCAGTTTAGTGTGCCTTAAGGTGACTCGGATGCCACACTTTGACAAAGATTTCCCTAAAGAGCCAGTGATTAGTGGTTTAGGGAAATTGAAGCAACAAGACACTGGATTGGAGCCAGACTTGGCCTTGTCATCCAGAGAGAGTGGACAGAACCATAGACCCTCTGAGGTCTACACTGCAAGGGCTGGAGGAGACCATCAAGACCACCTCCTCATTTTCCAGAGGAGAAAATGGAGCCCAGCGATGGGGACACAAGGGCATTGTGAGCCCTTAAGAACAGAAAGAGAAGCAAAAACAGGACTTCGATATAATAAGAGGATTACCATGGATAAAATGAAAAGAGAGAAGAGAAATGTGAGGAGCTGGCCCTTAAGCCAGTGTCTAGACTACATAATGTCTCCTTTTCTTTATCAGATCACTGAAATTGTCAAGCTGCAGAGTGGGCCACTTCAGTAGTTTCGAGGTAGGCCTGGGTTCCGGAAACAGGCATTTGTCCATGGGATAAAGAATAGGCCTGTTTTTAGTGGTTATTTGTGGAAGTTCACTGCTTCTCGCGGCACTGCATTATCCTTAGCATACAAAGATAAAATAAGAACCCTAGAAAAACACTTTGAGTGTGTGACTAAATTGGTGACCTTCAATTAACACTGATTAGACATTAATAATTAGCCTTCCTGATAAAATTCTGAGTATAATCATCTATAGCTGCACAATTTCTTCTTTACTGTTCTTGCACCTTGTTGACCTCATTTCGTGTTCATAATAAACCCCGAAATAGGTATTATCCTCACTGGACAGACCTTTAAATATGAAAATCTGATCATGCCTTTCAGCCGTTTATCAACCTTCAGTGCTTCCTCACTGTCCAGCCATTGGCTTATTCATCCCCTCTTGGGGAAATATGTTCTAAGTTAACAGCCTAAAAGAAGAGAGTGCAATCTGTAGAAGGCTGTATGTAACAGCTTTATTAAAAAAACTGGAAACAACCCCAAACCCAGCAGAGCCTGCTCTGTCAATACACTGAATACTCTGGTGCCTACGTTTTTAAAAAAATATATTTATTTGTTGATTTTTAGAGAGAGGAAAGGAGAGAGACAGAGAAACATCAATATGTTGTTCCACTTATTTGTGCATTCATTGGTTGATTCTTGTATGTGCTCTGACTGGGTATCGAACCACAACCTTGGTATCTAGGATGATGCTCTAACCGACTGAGCTACCCAGCCAGGGCCTCTGTGCCAATTTTAACGGATAAGAATCCATTCTACACTGAGGCATGAGCGTGTGTCTAACTATGTGGATCTCAAGGAGGTAAATGTGGAATAAAAAATAACAAACAGGTCGAAACCGGTTTGGCTCAGTGGATAGAGCATCAGACTGCGGACTGGGGGGTCCCGGGTTCGATTCCGGTCAAGGGCATGTACCTGGGTTGCGGGCACATCCCCAGTAGGAGATGTGCAGGAGGCAGCTGATCGATGTTTCTCTCTCATCGATGTTTCTAACTCTCTATCTCTCTCCCTTCCTCTCTGTAAAAAATCAATAAAATATATTTTTTTAAAAAAATAACAAACAGGATAATGAGCACACTGATTTCAACTCTGTAAAAATATGCACTTATATACTGACAAAGACTAGACAAAAACTGATCAAATGTTTGGTGTTGTATGTAAATTAGATCTTCAGATTAAGTGTGACATAAAACATTTAATTGTGGAAAATAATGCCTTTGGGGTTTTCTTGTGGGGCCACTCACATAGGAATGTATACTGTGAAGAGTAAAGTAGACGTGGAACTTAGAACCTTAGGACCTCAGTACATCCAGGTGAGCTAAGGACACAGGGCAGGCTCTTGATGGGATGTAGTGTTTGGGTCAAGTCAAATGAGGCAGGGCACGGAAGCCTACCTCAGCCTTGCTTAGGATGCTCGTGTACGTGCAAATTTGGCCCGAGTCTGACCAGTTATTGCTGCCGCAGCAGTTCACGGCTAGAGAGGATTCACAGAGGAGGGAGGGAATTGCCCTATTAACTGAGAGAAAAACTGGTCGGACTCGATCAAGCAGAACATTAGTGTGTGATGTCAAACTGACCCTATGTACAATTTCAAAGAGGCCCAGGAGCAGTTCACCAAACCCTCTCCTCTTTATCCGTATTTGTCACGGTTGAAGGCATAAAAGCATGGTGCTGACGCTCACTATTAATGCACACAAATGGCCGAAGCTCCCGAACTTTAGTATCTATTCAAATATGTTCATGAATGTATTTTTAGGTTCGCTTTTAAGTTTTTCTCCCTTACCCCCAGCCGAAATCTTACCGCATTTGCCTTTTTAGTGCTTTTCAGTAGACAATGTAATCATTAATGGAGTCCTCTTTACGTTTACTGTTTCATTGTGTAGAGATTGATGGTCGGGAAAGATGTTGCCCTTCTAGATTTCTCCTGGTTTTCTGTCTTTGTCTGTCTGGATCCTCACTCTTGGCTTCTCCTGGCTTGATCAGGCCCAAGAAAAACTGGCCCTTGCATCCCAAACTCATGTGAATCTGATTTGTATCAGAAAATCAATTTAATCATTTACAATTGTAACAGCCAAGTGGGGCAATATATTTATGTTGGCCAGTTTGCAAGTTTTTCTTCCCACAGAGGAAACCAAACAAAGGTTAGAAGTCTGTTGCTGTGCAAGCATAAGTTATTGGTACAAGGACAGGGTCTGAGAGAGATTTATTTACAAATTGATCTACCTAGAATTCCCCGATTCCCTTTCCATATCTGCTCCTCCCTGCAGAAATCTAGAAGGCCAATCTTTCCTAACCATCAACTCACTCCTCATCTCTACACAGTGAAACAATAAACGTAAAGAGGAATTAACCTATTCTGTGAGCCTTCTCCTAGCCCTGAGCCTTTGGGAAAAATCAATCACTTGCCTGGCCAGGCCACCATAACTTTTATACCTCTGTTATAGCACCGAGCACCTTGTCATCTCATACTTCTCCATGTACCTGTGCCCCTGCTATTTTAATAACTGGGACAAAGACTCTCTTACTCACTTTTGTTTCCTCCTTCCTAGCACATAATAACTGCTCAGTTCAGGGTTGCAGAACAAATGAATGAATGGATGAATGAATGAATGAATGAGATGATGAAGTAAGGAAGGAACTTATTTCTCCATTTATCCTAATGACCTTTTCTAAGTCAGGTTCTATTAAAATAGATATAGATAGATATTAAGAGCAAGTGTGTGTGTGTGTGTGTGTGTGTGTGTGTGTGTGTGTGTGAGAGAGAGAGAGAGAGAGAGAGAGAGAGAGAGAGAGAGAGAGAGAAATTGTCCCTTAACTTTGAGACACCTGTTTAAACATGATACCATGGAGAACCAGCTGTAGGCAACACTCAATGCTTTACATTTTCACCCAGATGCATCTGCTTATTTGATCCATCTATATTCTTTTCTGACCTCACTTCAAGCCCTGGCTCACTGTTCGCCTGCCTCCTTATTTTAGTGAACAACTCAACCCCCTCCATGAGCATTTTTATTTGGATTCTCCTAACTCACCTGTTACCCATCTTCTCTACGAAACCTCTGCTAATCTTCAGGGCACTTTTTCTAAAAATATATATATATTATTGATTTTTTTATAGAGAGGAAGGGAGAGAGATAGAGAGTTAGAAACATCAATGAGAGAGAAACATCGATCAGCTGCCTCCTACACACCTCCTACTGGGGATGTGCCCACAACCAAGGTACATGCCCTTGACCGGAATCGAACCTGGGACCCTTCAGTCCTCAGGCAGCGCTCCAGCCACTGAGCCAAACCGGTTAGGGCCTTCAGGGCACTTTAGTTCCCTGCTTCTCAAAGGACCAGCCCCATCAGCATCACCTGGGAACTTGTTAGAAATGCAGAACCTCAGGTCACAGAACTACTGGATCAAAATCTGAATTTCAGCAAGACCCTGAATGGATTTGCACACACATTAAATGTGGAGAAGCTTTAAATCTTTCTGAACCCCTGCTCCTGGCTCATGGTTTTCCTCTCTATCTTGCCTTCTGTTATTCTCAAGAGGCAACATCCATTGTATTAGTTATCTATGAAATCGTCCCAACTTATCAGCTTAAAACAACATTTATTACTTCACAGTGTCTGTGCATCAGGAAACTTGTCTGGACCTTCCGGGTCAGGGTTGCTCATAAGGCTGCCATCAAGGTGTCGGCTGGGCCCAAGTCACCTGAAGCTGGGTGGGCAGGAGCTGCTCCAGGTTCACTCAGGTGGCTGTTGACAGGCCTGATGTCCTCCTGGCTGCTGGCCAGAGGCCCCTCTCAGTTCCTTGCCTGATTGGTCTCTCCGCAATATGGAAGCTGGCTTCACAGAGCAAACGGGACAAGCAAGAGAGGGCAAGCAAGATGGAAGCGGGAGTCTTTGGGAACATAATCTCAGAAGAGACAGCCCATCGTTTTGCCTTATTTATTTGTTACAAGTAAGTCACTAGGCCCAGTCTACACTCAGGGGAGGGGATTGTACAAGGGTGTGAGTCACAGGAGGTGGGGATCGTTGGGGGCTATCTTATAGACTGTCTACTACACCCGTGTTCATCCTATATAATAAAGAGCTAATATGCAAATGGTCATCACGCCCTCACCCTGTCACACCATGAAAGCTCAGACATTCAACACTGGGGAGAGAGGAATGGGGACCAGCCAGGCGCGGTCTGGGAGAGGGACAAGCCGCCCGCTCCAAGGTCCCAGGTGCCAGCGGCTGTGCCTGTGCCTGTGGCCTGGGAGAGGGACAAGCTTCCCGCCCCGCTGTCCCGGGTGCCAGCAGCTGTGGCCCGGGCGAAGCCGCCTGCCCATGGTCCCCTGTGGCTGCGGCCGGCCCCGGGCGAAGGTGGCCCGGGTCTTGGGTGCCTGCGACTGGCTGGAGGAGGGAATCCTGGGTCCCAGGTGCGGGGCGAGGCAGAGGCAGTTAGGGGTGATCAGGCCAGCAGGGGAGCAGTTAGGGGCAATCAGGCCAGTAGGGGAGCATTTAGGGGCGATTAGGCAGGCAGGCAGAGGGGTTAGGGGTGATCAGGCAGGGAGGCAGGCGAATGGTTAGGAGCCAGTGGTCCTGGATTGTGAGGGACAGTCAGACATCCCCCGAGGGGTTCTGGATTGGAAAGGGTGCAGGCCGGGCTGAGGGACCCCCCCTCCCATGCACGAATTTTGTGCACTGGTCCTCTAGTCCAGTGGTCGGCAAACCGCGGCTAGCGAGCCACATGCGGCTCTTTGGCCCCTTGAGTGTGGTTCTTCCACAAAATACCATGTGCGGGTGCGCACATACAGTGCAAAGTTGACTTAAAACTTTAAGTAAAGTTTATTAAGTTAATTTTAGGGAACGTTGTGGAGTGAAAGAAGATGTAGTGTCGAGGATTGAGAAAGGTATGTTGAGATGGTTTGGACATACAGAGAGGATGAACGAAAAGAGATAGAGGAAACAAGTATAC